GGGGCCCGCCCCGGGGTCCTCGTGAAGAGTCCAACTCCCACCTGGACGGAAAGGAGGGCGCGATGGAGCAGCGTGCGCGCAGCCCCGACGGCGGCCCGGGACGCGATGCGGGCACAACCCCGAGGTGGCACCCACCCTGTTCCCCCTAAACCCACAGCAGCCCCTGGGCCCGCGCACATGCCAGACCCTGGCTCGGCCTCCTAGCTCCCGCCTCCCTGTCTTCCCACCACCTGGTCCCAACCGTCTCTCGGTGTGGGTGGGTTTGGGTGTTTTTTTTTAAACCTCCTCTTGGGTGGAGGTTTGTTGATGGAAAGGAAGAAAAACGGACTCTTTATTCTGCTCTAATCCTAGCTCCTGGAATTTCCCACCTTTTCTCTCACCTTTCCTTCTTCCCTTCCGTCTACCCACGACAGAGTCTAGAGGAGCCTGGTGGGGAACAGATGCGGGTGTCAGCCTCTCTCCACCCCACGCCCCACCGCAGGGTCCCAGACCTGGGCCCCGGAAGGGAGGAGCGGAGGAGCGGGCTGCGCACTCACTCACCTCCTCGGACCTCTCCTCCAGTCTGGGGCTCGTCCTTAGGAAGTGGAAAACCGAGTCCCAAGGTGTGCGGTCCAGCTCGGGGCTGGGGGGGTGACGCTGGTGGGCTGGGAGGGAGGGGCTGGGGGCCCTGAGCCTCAGGCCACGGCCTCGTCAGGACAGAGCCTGTATCCTCACCACCAACCACCCTGGCCGGACAGCCTGAGACTGACTGAGCCCTGAGCTGCTGCCGAGGGCTGGGGAAGGAAGGAGGGGGAGAGGGGGAGGGGGAGAAGGGAGGGAGGGAAGGGCAGAAGGTGGAGCCTCCAGTGCTTTCCTTCATCCCCAACACTCAGGGCTCCTCCGTCAGGCACCCCCACCCCAGCTCCCCCGCTGCTGCCCCAGGCCCATCCTGGGAGGTGTAGGAGTGGGGGTGGTCAGGCCAGGAAAGCCAATGGATGCAGGTGGGCAGGGTCAGAACCTGTTGCTTGGAGGAATATTGGGCCCAACTAGGACCCCCCAACCCTCTGCCTTAGGTGGCAAAGGATTGGGGAGGGATGAGGAGAAGGCAAGTGAAGATTCTATTGCATGTGAGGGCGCTGGCCTGTGTTGCTTCACTTAAGACCTCTTATTGAGTGCTTGATTGAGTGCCAGTGGCCAGGCACTGCTTCCCAACCTGTGTCAACCTACCTCCTACCCCCCACCCAGGCTGCCCTTTCTGTTTCAACTTAAGAGAAGATCGCAGGTCCATACCTGGTTAGGCAGGACACAACTGGACACCCCCTGCCCAGGGCAGAAGCCCCAGCTTCACCCCTGGCCCCCTCTCACCAGACACTCAGCACACATAAGGGCTGGGCTGGGTTGGCTCAAGGTAGAAAGACAGGACTAAAGTGCACAGGAGGCTGGGTGTGAGCTAGGCTGGGGTCCTCTTCAAGTATATCTGAAAGGCTTCTGGGGCCCCACTTCCTGGGACCCAACTCCTACCATCCTGGGTTCATGCTTTTGGTATGGGAGGCCCAGTTCTGCTTGTCATGAAGTCCCGCACTCCCCCACCCCAAGAAAGGGTGGGGGGTTGTCCTGCCTCCCTCTTCCTCCTGTCTACCCACTTCCCCCCTCAGCCGCATCCCCAGCCCGGTGACCCCTCTACTTTTCTGTCCTGCCCATCATCCAAGGCTTTCCCAGGTCTCTCCTCCAAAGATCACAGCCCCTCTCTCTTCTCGAATGGTGGGTGTTGAGGCAGAGGTGAGGGTGTGCATGGTGGATGGATAGATGGAGCCTGGGCCACGCTGGTAGCCACATTTGGTTCTGAGCTCCTCAGCAGCTGGGCAAGGCCCCAGGCCCACCCCAAGGGAGTCCTGTCTGGAGTGAGGCTGGAAAGGGGGTCTAGGCAAGGCCTCAAGCTTGGGAAAGGCCAAGCGGGTGGAGGGGGTGGGTAATGGGACACAATGAGGTAGTCACACGAGGCGAAGGCATGTTGGGGGTGGGGGGAGCGGACATTGGAACACACACACACACATGCTCGCACACACAACCAGCCAGACAATCGGGCCAGTGTGTCTGGGGCCTCGGAGCCCAGTGAATTAGGAGTTTGATAAGGGTTTTCTCTTTCTCTCGCTCGCCGGCCTTGGACAATCTCCCCCCAGTTTTCCTCGACGCCACCCCCGGCGCTGCCAACCCTCCTCCCCCCGCCTCCCTTCTCTTCCCTGTGCCCAGACTCTTGTTCGGGGCCTTGAAACAGTGAGCTGTCTTTGTTCGAAATACAGGTGAACGGCAATCATGTGATTAACACACACACACATAAAAAGCTTTTTAACAGCGCCCGGCCGGCCTCAGAACCGCCCAGAGAGGAGCCGCCCTGGATGGACAGAGGGACGGAGGGACAAGCATCCAGCTGGTCGTGTCCGGCTGCCCGCAGCAGTCTCCGACACCCGCTGCTGCCTGCCCGCTGCCCGCCTGCCTGGCATCTCTTGATCCCGGTGGGTCCCCGCTCATCCTTCCACCCCTTGGTTCCTCCTCTTGAGGAGGTGTGGTGTCTGTGTTGTCTGTGATTCGGCCTGAGACCCCCTGGAGCACAGAGGGGTGGCTGTGGAGGGTAGGAAGCCAGGTGTGGGGTCCCACAGCTCCCCTCTTGACTCCCCGCCTCCACCCTTACCCTCTGGGCCCAGCTGTGCCAGGATGAGGGTGGGGGTGGCAGTGGGCGCTCTAGGTCTGCAGAGAAGCCACACTGGACAGAGGGGACCTCTCTTTCCCCCTCCCTCTGTCTCTTTCTCTCTCTCTCCTCCTGTTTCCACAGTGCTGTGCTGGGCTTTCTGCTGAGAGGTGCTGGGTGAGGCAGGTGGGCCTGCAGGGGTGCGGGGAAAGTGCTGTCAGATGCCCAGGGCTGTGGGTGGAGGGTACCCCCTGCTGTAAACACACTACCCACCATGCTGGCAACTCTGATCCCCTCCATCCACTGCAGGCCCTGGGGCCCAGCTCTCTAGCAGGGGAGGGTGAAGTTCCCATATTCATCCCTGGAGAGCAGGGAGTTGGAGAGGGGGAGGGCTCCTGGATGAAGACACCAGGGCCTCAGCTCTTGGCAGAGCAACCAGGTGGCCAGTGCCACCTTCTGCTCCCTTCTCTGCTCGGGGTTGGAGGGGTCCTTTTCCCTCTCATTCCCGACCCTTCCCCAAGGATGCTGGTGTCCCCCTTACCGCAACCCCCATCCTGGGTGAGGCGTGGTGACTGGTGGACTCAGTAGCCTGTTCTCTCTCCCCAACAGGGAGGGCCCAAAGTATGAATGTAATGGTGAGATTCAGGCTTCCTTCCCGAGGCAGAGGCCTTTCAGGAGTAGCAGGATTTTTTCTGGGATCCAACCTGGGTTCCGTGGGCTGGTCCCAGATTTATACCTCGGATGGGCCCCCGACAGGAGGAGAGTGAATGAAATTCTGTCAGTCAGACGTAAACGCCCTGATGACCCTGCCTGGAGGAGCTGCATTGGTCCTGCTTTGTGGAAGGCCCCACCCTTGGTTCCCAATCCTGAACCCCAGTCCCTTGTCTGTCCCCTGGGGCGATGGTCACCTCCTGTCTGCCTGCCTCCCAGGACCCTCTGAGATGAGAAGGGGAAATCTGCTATTCGGCCAAGCCAGGGCTGCGCAGGCTGAGGGGTGGGGCTGGTCAGGTCGAGCTTCCACTCCGGCCTTGGTTTCCCTAGTTGGGCACTCCCTCTGAGGACAGGGCGGTGGGCCCAAGGAAGGGATGCTGGGAAGGCACTCTGCCACCTCTAGGCACCACGTGAGTGAGACCTGCATGGTCCAGGCTGTCCTCTCTCTCGCCCCTCAGGCCTGGGCCCCGCTCCCAGTTTCTGAGCAGCTCCCTGGCGATTGCCTTGAGCCTGCTTCTAATCCTTGCTGCACTTGAGGGTCACTGAGGTGTCTTAAAGACACACAAAGCCTGGATCCCCTGCAGATTGTCTGATTCCAAATTTCTGGGGATGAGGTCCAGACATGTTTACTTTTTGAAGCTCCCTAGGAGGCCCTGTTCTCCCTCACTGGGGTCTCTGAAATACCAAGGCTGTGTTGAATCCCTGCAGAACCCAGAATCTCCTGGGAGAGGGGAGGGTGCTGGGCTGTGGGCCCCAGAGCTGGAGGCCAGAACTGCAGGGACCCTGGGCTGTGCAGGGAATTGTGGGGATGTGGCAGGGGAGGCGCTGTGTTTGGGGAGGGGGAGGGCTGAGGGGCACGGGTCAGGGTCAAGGATACATTAATGACCGAGACAGGAGCTGAGTCTGGGTGAGTGTATGAGGGGTGGAAGCTCCCTTAAACGTTTCCTAGCTCCCCCACTCCCACCCCCCACTCCCCCAGTATGTTCTTCTGGGTTTGGGTGCAGTGGAAAGAGCACTGGTCTTGGAGTCAGGAAATCCTGCTGCTAGTATCCACATGGCCTTGGGCAAATGATGCTGTTAACCTCTCAGGACTTGGTTTTTGTGTGTATATAATGTGGATAATTTAATATATCATATCCCCAAGTGGATGGGAGAATTAAACAAGAATACACACACACACACGTGCACACATACACACACATTTGGTGCGGAATAAATGCTCGATAAATGGTAATTAGAAAAATAGTTTAGGGACCAGGAGGTGGGGAATGCTCACTTCAGTTCAAGTGCACAAGTGTTTACTGTGCAGCCGCCATGGATTTGCCTCAGGAGCCTGTAATCTGCCTGTTGAATCCCGACATCGGACCAGGGCGGTGTGTGATAAGCCTTCATGAGTGGGCCTCTCCTGTCTGTGCCCCTTCGGTAGCGAAGGCCCACACTTCCAGAGTCCCCCAGGGGCTGGCCCAGCTCGGGGCGCCTCTGTCCACGGAGTCTCAACAACTCTGTGTGGGTGCTGTCATTATTTTCCATCTAGGAAGGGAACTGAGGCACAGAGAGGTTCAGTGACGTGCCCTGGCTCACCCAGCTAGTGATGGGAGGGAGTGGCCTGGTACCCACGTGCAGAGCCCCGGGGGCTGTTCCGTCCTCCTCCCGGCCCCTCTCCCCCAGGACTTTGCACTTGCTCTGAGCTCCTAGTCACTGCTTACAGCCCAGCTCAGAGGCCCTCTCTCTAGGAACGCACTCTTGGACACCCCTCGGTTGGAATTCTCTTCCTATATTACTTCCCTGGAGAGGAGAGGGAGATCGTTTCATTCTTGCCTCACCTCCTCACTTCACAGCCTGGCATTCAGTCTCCACTTTCTACGGGGTGCCCCCTTGAGGGCAGGGCCATGCCTTCCTCGTGGTCTCAGCCTTTCCAGCACAACCTCAGGGAGTCTTCTCTGGGCTGAGTTGCAGTCAGAGTTCCAAGGACAAAAAAGATAGGGGAGGCTGGGATAGCGGCTTCCTGGAGGCGGAGGGCCTGAGTGCTCGGGGAGGAGGGACAGCATTCCAGGCCTGTCCCAACAAGGGCTCTTGCCCGTCCCTGTTTCTGGTCCAAGCCTAGGGTCGAGGACCTGGGCCAGGAAGGCAGCTCCTGGGGCCCAAGCTTTCCTTCCCCTCCAACCCCACCCACTCCGGGAACAAGGAAGCCGGGGCCAGTGCCCAGGGCTGCCTCGGGGCAGCTGGCCTCTGCCCTCTTCTTAGAAGCACAGAGTGGAGACTGCTTGTTCCTGTCATCCAGACCCAGCTGCTGGAAAGCGTTTCCTGGTGTCTGCCTGAACCTCTCATGCTGCAGTGAACTTTTGTGATTGTACCCTCTGTGCAGGACTCTGGGCCAGGAGCTAGGGTGGGGATGTGATGGGGGCCAGACCTGGCTTTGAGAAATTCAGAGTTTGATGGGAGAGACTGACATGGAAACCCAGAATGCTGTCACAGCCAAGGTCCTCCATGGCCAAACAGGGATGGAGGCTCAAGTCCCAGATGGGCTGTGGGGGCCCTGTGTTGCCTCGGCCACCTTCCTCCCTCTCCAGGCCTCATCTTCCTCATGCGTAACGTGAGGGGCAGGCTGGGTCATCTCTGAGGGCATTTGCAGGTTCGATAGCCCAAGAAATCTATTTCAAAACAAGAGGCCGATGCCTGACCCAGTGTTTCCAAAGTGGTGCCTCCGAGCCTGCTGTGTTCCTCAGAAGCAGCACCTCTTGAAAAGACAGTTTTGTGGGAAAGCAAGTTTGGGAAACACTGCTTTCCACTTTTTCTTTTTAGACATGCAGGGCCTTTTAGGGTGTTACAAGCGCTAACGGCTGCAGTTAAGAAATGGATCTTGAAAATATTTATCCCCCAGTCCTCTTTCTCCTCCTTCTTCTCCTAACTTCTTTCCTCTGGCTCTGGTCCTTTTCTCTCCTCCATCCTTTCTCCTAAGAGTCAAGAGCTCTGAGCCACAGAGGGCCTGGACATCCCTTAGGGCACAGTCCTCAGTTCCTTAGTCCCATCAGTCCCCACCCGGAGCTCTACCTCCCCTACGCACGCCCTTGACCTAAGCTGCAGTCAGGTTTACCCTCCCCAGCCCCGCTGAGCTGCCCAAACCCAGCAGGCCAAGCCTGGCCCACGGGACACCTTGCCTGTTAGCTAAGGCCTAGAGCCTCCTTGTCTCCCACCTCGTTCGCCATTCCAGCAGGACATCATCTGCTGTGAGCTCTTTCTCACCTTCCTCCATGGTGCCGGGCACAGAGATGATGCACGTGATGCAAGTGAATGAATGACTTGCAGGTCAGTGAACATGTACAGGCAGTGAGTTGTGGTGCTGTTGAGTTACGCGGCTCCAGGTTTGGATACTGGCACCCCTGCTTAGCGGCTGTGTGCCCTTGGCAAATGGCTTAATGTCTCTGAAGCTCAGTTTCCTTCCAGGTCGGGGTAGGATTAAACCAGATACTGTATGTAAACACTCAGGACAGTGCCTGGCACATTACAGGGCTCGGCAAATAGCAGCTATTGTTATCAGCATCTCTGGCGTCTTCCCCAAAGGGAGGCCGTTGGTTGACCCTGGGTTTGATAGTAGCCATTGCTTCTTGTCCTACGTGCTGTGATCACTAACCTTGGAGGCTGGCAGAGCAACGGCAGGATCATCATCCCATGAAACAAAAGCAGAAAGGGAAGCGATCGATTGTGGTTGGCTGAGGTCACGTGGCTGTTTGGTCTCACAACTTGGTCTCTCTGCCAGGACTCCTTGCCCCAGGTTTCCTGAGGACCCACCCTTGGCAAAGCTCTGCTGTCTGTGTGGTCGTCAAGAGGGGCAAGTGCTCAGCTTGTCTTTGGGGAGCTTGTGGACCAGTTGGGAGTTGGTTCATTCATTCAGACTTTCCCACACACCTGTTAGGCAACATAGAGCAGACATGTGTATGGATGAAGAGAGTGGTGAAGGTGGAGGGAGAAAAGGGAGTGTATGGGAGGACCAAGCATGGCCTTTTTGAGAGGGGACCCTTTGTGTTGCCTCTGGAGGGGCTGCTCCTCCAAGCAACAGCAGGGCATCTTGTGGGGAGGGGCTGTCCAGGTTGCCCATTTTAGGACGTGACTGGAAAACCTGGGTCTTCTCATTATGGATTCCCTGTCGTTTCACTCTGTCATCCAGGGCTTTAGCCAGGACCAGGGCCGTGGATGCCAAAGGGCAGGGTCTGGGCAGGCTTGGCGGGAGTGGAGCCCGGGACGCTCATTTGAGGTTGGCACGGTGAGTGCACCCCTGCTCTCACAAGGTTACCTCTGTCCCCTGACAGTGAAAATGGGTGATCTAATGGGATTTCAGTGTTTATGTGAACTCAAAGGGGCTTCCTCGCAAAAAGATTACCTTATCTTTCAACGATGTCAGTTCATAATGAAAAAGGGAACTGAATGATGACCCAGAGCCAGAGAGTCCAGGGTTCAAATCCAGTCCTTGCCCCACTAACCAGCAGTGGGATCAAGACAGTCACGCCATCTTCCTCCACCTCAGTTTGCTTGTCTGGAAAATGAGGAGAACACTCCCTGCCTCGTGGGAAGTTCACAAAGGTGAAAGAAAGGTGGAATGCAGGTGCTTGGCACAGTGCCTGGGACAAAAGGTAGGCATGATAATTGCCTTCTCTCAGTCACCTCAGTGGCCGCTCCATGTCCAGCATTTTCCTGGTCTATTGGGTAGAATAATGCCTTGGATGTAGTGCACCCAGGAAAACCTCTTCCCTTTCCAGGGGCAAGAGTTGCATTTACTGCAATAAGAGCAAAGGACATGGGCACAGCCTGGGGGTGTGCCCCCTGCCAAGGTGCTTTGGTTCAGGCAGAAAGTGTAATGTATGTCCATGAGGCTGCCAGGCAGGGAGATTTTGTATTCAGATGGTAGGCTGAGAAGTCAAGAGTTTGAAAGTCTCCTGTTTGGGACTAGAACACTGAATGGAAGTCTCTGTGCCTCAGTTTTGGCAGGTGCAGTGGGAGGAGCTGCTCCCGACTCTGCCAAGGTCCTGACTCTGCTGTGTGACCTTGGCAAGTCAGCCACCCTCTCTGGGCTCTCTCGTTCCTCTATCTGTACAGTGAGGGATTTGGCCCCTGAGATCTTTGTGGGTACTTCCAGATTTACTGTCAGAGGTTTTAGGGTTCTATAGGAAAATGCTCACATCTGGTTTTGTCTCTTGGAGGCAGCTGCTAAGGGCTGGACATGTGAGCACATAGCAGGTGCTCAGTAAGTGCTTTTTGAATCTGTTGAATCTCACTGACCAGAGAGAGAACCCACTAAGAGCCCTGCACCACTTCTCCTCTCCCCAGAGAGCCTGTCTGCTGGCCTGGGTCACAAGTCCTGTTAGCCCTTTGCAGGCGGGGCCCACAGTTTGCTCTCCATGGTTAGCCATTTACTCATTTGTTCTAACGCACACAGGTGCCACAGACAAACCTGCACAGAGGGAGATAAAACTCCAGATTGCAGATGGAGTAAATAAATGTTTCCTTATCATGGCACTTAGGATCAAAATCCCAAATCTTTAGCCTGATCTGGCATGACCCGGCCCCATTCTCATCCAAGACTCCAGCCAGAGTGGCCACCCTCTACCTCCATAAACGCAGTCCTCTGAGCTCCCCTAAATGCTCTCCCTCCACGGAACCTGCTTCCACCATCACCTCATTAGCTTCCCCTTTGCACTTAGCCTATAGATCTGCAGTCACTTCCCCAACCCTCCAGCATCACCTTTTCTCTCTGACAGCCCCTCAGTCTTTTCCTTCAGAGCAGTCACTGCAAATTATGATTATAT